AATATAGGAAATACATTAACAGCTTTAGCAATCATCTGGAAATCTACTGTGTTCTATATATTTACTAGGTGCCAGTAATAAGTGACAGCATAAATGACTTGATAGTGGCCTTCAAAACCACTGCCAAGTGTCTTTAAAGTGCTATAATGCATCCTACTGGGATAAGCACCAGTCACACAGTTAATGACATTTTTACTAGTTGCTACATCCATGTTTTTGAAAGGTTAAACTAAAAATAATATGTGGATTTAAAAGTGATTTTTACATTTTCCTTGTTCTAGCATAGTTAATTGATTCAACCAATAAGCTAATTTGTAGGTTAGAGATTCGCTCCATCCTATTCCAAGCTTTCAACCTGTCAATTTGCGATATTTTTAAGCTCTAAATAGGACTGCAAGAACATTTCGTTGATTCTTCAGTAGGAAAAGTATGCATTTGTTTTAACAACGGGCATCAATTGGCACTTTTGAACTCTTCCAGCAAATCTTTAAAAAAAAATATAATATATAGAAATATATAGGTAATTGACATCTCCAATTACTAAATTATTATTCAGTTATAGATTTTCTTTAATTTATAATAACAGTGGATCTTTTGTTATCACTTTTAATGTGTCAGGATTTATAGTTTATTCCTAAATGAAATGTGTGGTTTCTTTTATCACCAACACAAATGCTAGCCTCATTGCTTTGTCAGCATTATGGCATCATGCTCTAAGAGCATTATGGAAGATGTAGTCCAAAACATCTGGAGTGCTGAAGGTTACTTACCCCTTAATTAGATGGCAGTGAGGGAGTAGTGATGGAAGAGGGAGTGTTTGAAGTCAAATGTGGAGGTATTTCCATTGGAGAAAATATAATTAAAAAAATATTATTTTGGCAATAATAAAAACTACTGATATATTTTCCCAGTGCTGGGCGTGAGAAATAACATAAAACATTTTATAAAAAAAAAAAAAGTAAAAATACACCTTTACCTCTACCAGCATTAGAAAAAAAGTGTCATCTATCTCTTTAATTGTTACATTTAACACTAAATTGGTATATTGTAAACGTCTAAAAAATGTTTACAACAATAGAACAAGAATAACAATGTTATTTTTTAAAATTCTACTGCACCATCTCTTTGTACTGCACAACGATATCTCAAACTTTTCAAGCAATTCAAATTTCTTAGGATTTTTACCATAACTTGTTACATTCACAATGCTTTATATCAGATGTTAGTTGTAAATTGCATGACTTTGCCTACAGATCTTCTTCATGTGTGTTGCTTGAAGCTATTGCAAACATGAAATATTCATTAGATCAGTACATTAAAAATGTATATAAATTAAATGCTATCATATAAATTTCTAAGATCATTATTTAAATGTCATGCAATGATGAAGTGAGTACATGCTGCAATTATTGAGGTTGTAATTCTATAGCATACATTTCCATAACCCATTGTCAGCTTGGTTTAAAGTTTTATCTACCAAAAACAAGGTATTTTGGGCAAACAAAAATGCCAAAGTAAATTAACAAAATATGTTATGGATTTTACTATTGTATATTTTTTGTTCACTTAAAGATGCTAATCTGCCTACTCAGTAAATTTAACATCTCAATACCTAATTATATTGCGATGAATACATCACTCTTGCTTCTGAAAATCTACCTTGGTATTTATTTCAATTCTTTATTTAGGAGACATAAAGGTTATATACAAGACACATCAAGAACAATGTGTTAGACAGCCATATACATCTCTATTTTAAAATTATTATGAGGCAATCCAAAAATAACCACATGAAAAATCAGAACGAGAACATGAGGAGGGTAAGGGGTGGTGGGAATTATGGTGATAAATACACTACAGGTAAAATATATAAAATACACCATATAATATAGTGCAAGATATCCAGGAGCTAATCAGGAGATTAATTGAATATATTGTATATATAATAAGTTAATAAAAACACTTGATTATCCTAAAAACAGTATAGGTCAAAAAGTTCAAGGTAGCCCAGGCGTGTCGAGGGGGCGACAGGAATATGCCTAAACCTTACCCCCTCCTCCCCCACAAGCGCCCCAACACACCAGTACATAGCAGGGACACGGCCACACACATGCACGAAGCACTACATGGAATCAACAGGAACTAAAGCCCCTGGAGCCAGCAAAGGAAATGAAAACACACACACGAAAAAATATTCCTGAGAAAGGAAGACACAAACATCCAAAACACTAAGAGTGAACTGAAAACGCAACACACCCAGGAGGCCTGGATAGGACAGACAGACCCCGAATTCACTAAGACAGACAAACACTGACATGCATCATCTGCAAACAATAAGCAATGAAGTCAGGAGAAACTAACACACTAACACTAAGCACAATCACCTACCCACACCAGAACACCATGCTAGAGAACGGGAAACCCTAACAGAGCAAGCAACACACAAGCAAACGACAAACACACAACACTTGTCACTCTCACGACGAATACCACCACACACACAGAACTAATGACAAAACCCATCCCATATATAGATCACCAGGGGAACAGGACCTGGAAGGGGAGAACCCTGGCTGACAATTAGTGTAGACGTCCGGGCAAACCTGACACTACATACATCTGAGACCAACAATATAACATACAAAAAGAGACGCACAATCTAAAGAAACTGACGAAGAACACTTACAGCATACCGAGATTAACAGACTATACAAAAACAAGGTCACCAGACACAGGGAGGCTGCGAGATGCGCTCACGGTGACTAAACTGACACAACATAGGCCCAGGGAAACGACAGGACTGGAGCAATGTACCAACTAGAACTCTGATATCTACGATGCACTTAAATCATATTACTGCACAGACAGCGGGAAAACAGCTCAGCAACAGGGTCCTAGGTAGGAAGCAAAAATGTTGGGGAATGTAGAAGGCTCACAAACTATTATCCAACCCAGGGAAAATGAGGCATTCACGCAGACACTTATTTAGCTAACCCACTGGATATGCCTCTATCTGAGTATATACCGGAGACCTACGAGTCTCATGGTTACACGAACACGCCGAATTATATAGTAGATCCAAATGATAAAGTCAAACCCACAAGGCACAATGAAGAATACCCACGCCATGCTATAACGGTATAACACATACAGGATGACATATTCTGATGCTCCAATTGTACTGGCTTGCTAGCACGATCAGTGAATCCGTGTTCTTCAGCATGTCTAATGGTAACTGCCCTGTCTGGGGACGTGCGTGTCCAAATCAGGCAGACAAGCTCAATGTTTCATTGTATGAGATAATTATGAGACCTGGGAGTCTCAACTTTACTGCTTTTGACATAATGACTTACTACAAAACAATAAACATCATATTTACAAAAAAAAAAGTGCAGGGTAAAAATGAATGGCATAGGTGCCCCTAACCATGTAAGTGAAAATTATACAGGGTAGATGGTACCAATGTCAAATGCTATACTTTCATAAAAATAAAAGATCAGAATGAAGTCCACATGTAATAAGGCACACCAGTATATAGAACAGGTGGCTTTATTTCAGAGGATACTCCTCTAAGTGAGTGTATATGTACAAGAAGTCGGTTCTGTCTAGATTAATGAAACACAACCTAGATAAAAAGACTTAACCTGTAAAAGAAGGTTACAAGTAATCCATTTATATAAACAAAAAGTCGGCTCCAACGGGACTAGTAAAGCCCTAGCTACTAAGAGGAGTGCAGATGATCCTGGCATTACTCGCCAGGTAAAACACGTGTCAGGTGCCGTTTCACTTATTATTCTCCAGGAGCAATCTCTAACTTACAGCTGACAATTTCTTTAACATGAAACATTGCTTGGTAGACTGATTCATACATGGCATGCACTTTTCTCTTTGGCAGGGAACACTAGCTGGCTGGCAAAAAATATAGGGACTCTGCAGTTTACTATTTAGCTTGAACTAGGGAACAGACCACTAAGCGGATTTGTCTGTTTTAGATTTCACCAGTACCATGCCCTCTCACTAGTCTTACGTCATGTTATTTTTACAAAGAGATCTCAAGGTGGCTAGTTGGATTCAAAAATTGAGACTACTTTTGAGGAAGTGTGCAAGGAGGCTGTGTGAGTCACAGACAGAGGAAGTCTGGCTAGGGCTGCAGAAATAAATATAATAAAAAATATGTGGGTGTGGTATGTAACCCACCCACATACGATACCACAACTCCAAGTAAAATGTCTTAAATTACGGATGAAATAATCCTGAGATCAAGACCTTGATAGGGCTAATTCCGGTGCCCACATATGCAGTAAGTAACACAAAACAAACCCTACTCCTGAGTGCAGACTGCGTTTTGTTTTGTGTTACTTACTGCAGAAATAAATAATCTAACTTCTAAACTGCACATCATTGAGCAGTGAGTCTGCAAGAGCATAATCTATTGCTGATTTGACTGACCATTTAAACTCTATATCTAAAACAACTAAACGAAACTGCATGTTCTTACTGCTTAGAGAACACATGGTACCCTGTTCCAAATTATTATGCAAATTCTATTTAAGTGTCACAAAGATTAAATATTTGGTTTTTCAGTTTCTCGTGGATGGCATTGTGTCTCAGGGCTCTTTTGATCACTGAAAACAATCTCGGACACCTGTGATAATTAGATTGCGAGGTGAGCCCCTTTTAAGGAAAAACTACTAAAGGAGGGTGTTCCACATTATAAAGCAGAACACCATTTTCATGCAATATGGGGAAGAAAAAGGATCTCTCTGCTGCCGAAAAGAGTGAAATAGTTCAATGCCTTGGACGAGGTATGAAAACATTAGATATTTCACTTACGCGTGATCATCACACTATTAAGAGATTTGTGGCTGATTCAGAGCACAGACGGGTTCATGCAGATAAAGGCACATTGAGGAAGATTTCTGCCAGATCCATGCTTCGGATCAAGAGAACAGCTGCTAAAATACCATTACATAGACGCAAACAGATATTTGAAATTGCTGGTGCCTCTGGAGTTGCTGGTACCTTCTATTCGGCCACCACTAACCAATGCTCACAAGCAGAAATGGCTGCATTGGGCAGAAAAATACATGAAGACTAGTTTTCAAACAGTCCTGTTCACTTATGAGTGCCGTGCAACCCTGGATGGTTCAGATGGATGGAGTAGTGGATGGTTGATGGACAGCCACCCTGTTCCAACAAGGCTGTGACGTCAGCAAGGCAGTGGTGGAGTCATGTTTTGGGCCGGAATCATGGGAAGAAAGCTGGTCGGCCCCTTTAGGGTCCCTGAAGGTGTAAAGATGACCTCTGCAAAGTATGTGGAGTTTCTGACTGACCACTTTCTTCCCTGGTACAGAAGGAAGAACTATGCTTTCCGTAATAAAATCATCTTCATGCATGACAATGCACCATCTCATGCTGCAACGAATATCTCTGCATCAATGGTTGCTATGGGGATAAAAGGAGAGAAAGTCATGGTGTGGCCTCCATCCTCCCCTGACCTCAATCCTATTGAGAATATTTGGAGAATCCTCAAGCAAAAGATCTATGCGGGTGGGAGGCAGTTTACATCCAAACAGCAGCTCTGGGAGGCTATTCTGACATCTTGCAAACAAATTCAAACAGAAACTGTCCAAAAACTCACAAGTTCAATGGATGCAAGACTTGTGAAGCTGCTATCAAATAAGGGGTCCTATGTTAAGATGTAACGTAACCTGTTAAAATGTTTAAAAAGTTAAAATGTTGTTATAAGTTTGATTGAAATAGCTTTTGATTTCAGTAAATATGCTGCAAACACAACAAATTACGATTTTCAGTTCTTTACAAACTATAAAGTGTTTTGAAACTTACTGTGCGTAATAATTTGGAACAGTGCATTGTAAGTTTTTTATGTTTTAAAAAAATACTGTTATCATTAGGAGGTTTGTTCAATAAAATTTGAATTGTCCTCTTAATAGTTGATAACATGAGAATTATGCTGACTGTTATTTACATCAATTAGTTAGTTAAATGAGAAAAATATCATTTGCATAATAATTTGGAACAGGGTATATATATATATATATATATATAAATATAAAATCCATATATATATAGATTTTGTTTAATATATATATATATATATATATATATATATATATGTTGGCTTTTTGGGGGAAGAAGAAATGAAGATTTAAGAAGAAGGAAGACTTCTGATGGTAAATATATATATATATAGATATATATATATTTATTTATTTATTATTACAGGTACTTTATTAGCTTTGTTGGCTCCCTCACTATTATAAGGGGGAGGACGTAGGACATTTGTTTATAATGGGGAGGGTGGCTTGTGAGTTTAGAGACCAGATCCCTAACTAACCCTATGGCTAACTCTTGCACCCTCTAAGGTTTTTTTTTATTATTTGCCTGCTGACTGCTAGTGCTGTTACTGGGCAAATATATAGATTTTTTAAATCCAAGCCCGATTTGAAGCATCCAAGCCTGGATTTTAGCAATCTATATTTCCGCGGTCTGGGTGCATTTGGCCTACCTGAAGTCCAGACCTGGGCCAGAGCCATCTCTAAAATATTTGGACATTGTTAAATAGCATAAACTGTGTCCAGATTTAGCATTTTAATTGACATTGTACAAAGCTGGATGGTTTTGCCACATTCAGTACTGGTCCATTCAGAGGTTAGTGAATAGAACTGCATTTTATTTTATTTTTAGCATAAGAACTTGAGTCAATTAGTTAAGATTTTAGTGGCATTTTAGTAAGCAGTGAATACATGGCTCCTAACTTTTATCCTGACAATGCATAAGAGCCAAATTATGTAATTAAATATTATTCTATTAAATATTAGAATGTTAATAACAAACAAAATGTAGATTACATGTAGCCCTACATCATCAAACTAAACAAATGCTTATGGAGGAGGAAATAACTGTAAATGTTCAGTTAAACTATAACAGCTCGATACACATCACATGTAAATAGGGCAAAGCACTTAATAGCACAGCAGTATTTTGAATGCAAATTGCATCATTTTGTGTTCTTAACATGTGACACAAAACACTTTATACATAAATTTAAAACAGCACCCTGTGACATTTGGCAATTATTTGCAATATAATGCATATGTTCATATAGAAAAACAAATGATGCATTATACTAAGAACAGAGGGATAAGTCATACATTATGATGGTGAAAAAAATAGGGAGATCATATGTAGGAGCCATAACATGGTCACTTAGAGAAAAATCCTGTCAAGGTAAGAATTGGTATTGAAGCTATGAATCAACCACTGAAAACTGACACAATTAGACCTTAAAACCCTATGAGAGAAAAATAGTGTGAGACATTGGAAGAAGAATTTGGATGGAGGTCCTTCAATGGTGTTTGCTACAACCAAAGGTTAAAATGGTAGCTAAAATCAACATCCGAGATCTTAGGCACACTAAACACTCCTAAATAGGGATAGCCAGGAAGTTCATAAAGTAGCACTCTTACTTCAGATTGAGTCTTTATAGAAATTCAAAAATATGTTTTTGGAATATCAGTGGAATTAAATGATATCATAAGACAAAGCAAGGAAAGCGTTTTAACAAATATGGCAGAAGGTGAAGTTTCATTTAGTTTCTGACTGTCATACCTTGTCATTTATTCACTAGCAATGGCTGGTGGTAACAATGGAGACGCAAGACATCTCAATACACATTTGCGTAAATGTCTACTTAGGATCATGTGAGACTCTTAGACTCCATTTTTTACTCTTGTATATTTTTGATATACTTTGAAACTTAGTGAGCTGTCAGGAACTAAAGACTGAAAGATTGGGGCATGAATTTGGAAAGACATTTAACAGGTTTGTAAAGGATATAATGGGTTCTATATAAAGGCGCCTCTAAAATAATGCTAAAGTAATTATGTTATTACTATTGCCGCAGCATTTCTTTTTTTCTCTCAAAAAGTGATATCATTGCTCACTTACTCTAAAGATAATTAGGAAGTATGAGAAGCACCCTGTTTACCTTTGAATTTATAAACATTCGAGAGCTGTGTCCACCCAGAATAGCAATGTTGAAAAAATACCAACATTGTATACAATATTGAACAACCTTGCTTGCTTAGCAATCGGACTTTGTACATTTCATATAGAAGTTCATTCACCTCCTTTGTGACATATGGTAGAGGAAATCTAAACTCGAGTGACTATTCTTCTGACAGATGTACATTGGAGCATTAATAAATAGCAAACACATTCAGAAAGAAAAACAGAACACAATGATTTTCTGTGAAATTCTAAAATCATATTTATTGGCCAGTCCACAGAAAGTGCCATCGTACCACAAAAAAGGCGTTTGTTTTTATACATTTAAAAGCCAATTCTTTAACTGCAATCTCATCTTAAATAATTATTAGTTCACATTTCTCATAGTCTTGTGGAAACTGTCAGAATCTTTACAACTCATAATATGATAACATAAATTGAGACAATGACTAAACAAAAACATTTATTTGCTAACATACAAAATAATAATTTTTATGTATTTTTTGACGTATCTACCATTTTGTGTTTTTGGTTTTATCTACTGATACAATTCTAACATAACAACATCAATTAAAATAAACAGCACTGCAGCTAAGCCACATAATGTTGATTTTAGCGTATACGACTCTACGGTAAACGTGTAATGATATAGATATGCAACAAGTTCTTTAAAAAGCATTGCAATCCTCTATAGTAAACCCATAACTTACAAATAACATCTGGCAGATATCTTGATATTTAGGTTGAATAAGGGTTAGAAACTACAGAGACTATTTATTAGTAGTGTGATTGTATTATCTTGCAAAAATCAATTGATTCTTGATCACATAAAATATGTTTCCAATTTTTTTTACATTATTCAGTTTATGAAATGCAAATATTTTGATACAATCTATTTATTCATATATTGACTTACGATCGATTATCTATTGTTAATAGGTTTAGTTTCAAAGGAGTGAGTTGAGGGAGATTGACAAGTGTATTGCAATATTTAATCTAAAAATCTTAATACCGAAGTAGCTACACAAAGTAGTATACAATTTTGACATACGTGTTGCAGATAAGTTGCAGATTACGAAAAAAAATGTCACTTATGGCTAATTAAAGCAATAGACAAACTTCAAGAATGCTTGTTTAATGAATAGCATTTTTTATTCTTTATGTGTGAAATTGTAATGAGTTGAAAACCAAATTGCAAAATTAAGCCAAACGAACCAAGCATGGGATATGGCCGATTTGCAGAATAATTTGAGATCTGCACTTTTTTCCACGAATTTTGCCATTCTGTTTCCAATTGACTTTGATTCACTATATAACAAATAATCCAGTTAAAGTATAATTGCACTTCCATTCACAATAATAATAACCAAGAGATTTTATTTTAATTAAGCTTCAAGTTATCTGTTGACTGAAAGCTCTGTATCTTTGCTTACCAGCAGCCTAAAACACGTACCTCATAGGAAGCTGTACACAAAGGCAATTTGTCACAGCATCCTGTCTTCTCCTCGGTTCCTGAGTTCGGTAACAACCATATCAGCCTATGGCAAGGAAAGACCCAGCTGAAATGCATTCATTAACACAGCTATAACCCCATGCTGTGACTGATTAATTATTAAGCACAAGAAAAATGCTGAGAACCTCATTCTATTACAGTTTTATACCACAATTGCGGTTTTACATATTTTAACGTTTGCTTATGAATTCAGAAAAGGGAGCTCTGTGGCTTTATGCAGCTGTTTATGCTTAAGTGAAACATATTCTCTACATTGTTTTTTATAATCCCCTGCAAGGACATAATCATGATGTGAAATCGAAATACAATTCTTCCAACATGCAGATTCTTGTTAGATCAAATTATTTTGTTGGGTAATTAATGATACCCTGTAACCAAATGTGTATTGGCGCTCATAGCTAATACGGAGAGAAAGACAATGGTTTACCAAATGGGAACAGATATACTGCTCTATTGTACTGTTGCACGTTTTAACATAAGTTAAAAATAGGCCAGCTTAATCCTGTGATTGCATCTAACAAGCTGCTATAGCACTTGGCATCATAAGTAGTGGGAATAAAAGAAGTCATGCATCTCAGTGCTCAAGAGCAAGGGAACCAGATACGAGTGGCTGGGTTGCCTCCCAGGCTCAGCTGAGTATAGTAATTAAGGGTACCCAGTACTCTAGATGTATTTATGCCTCCAACACAGGCTTATATTAGAGAAAGGAAAGGGCTAGGGGTTTAGGATCATAAAACCAATTGAGAATGAATAAGTCTTATTTTTCATATTATATATTGGAGTTTACTATTTTAATTATAGATTTTGCACTATTCTAAATTATACAAAATACTTGTAAAAAAAAGTGCTCAAAACTTAATTTTGGAATAAAGTGCCTTATACAGTAAAGAACTATAGGTGGTTTCCTAGCAAAAGTACAGTTAGCATGAATCAACCTGTGTTTTTCTCTATGTTTATATGAAGTAATTATTGCAATTTATTTAATTTAATTTAAAACTTTAAGTGATACAAATGGAAGTTCCAATTGTTTTTTGGTGTTGAGGAGGAGATTGTATCTAATGATTATAAAGCACTAAACAGAGAACAAATATCCCAATATAGAAGAAACTTGTTCAGCGATTTTCAAAGAAAATATGCTTTCACGGGTAAGATAAAGTGTGTTTAAGACAGATTCCAAATCACACCTGCATTATTTAGAGCCTGATTTTTTATTTTATTTTTTTGTTAGTACTGCTACTTTTCTCAAAGCATTGCCAGTAGGATGACACAAACAAAACAAAATAACAACAACAAATATGATCAAATATGCCTGCTAAATAAGGAGGTTGGTGCTTATTTACACCTCAATCCACGAGTTTGCCCTAGGCATCCAAGATGCTTGAAGATGCTATACTTCTTATAGTCTGTTCAGTTATTTAGTTATGTTCATACATATATATGAAACTAAGCGCAAACTATAGAACACATATAACAGGGAGTTATCCTCTGACCTGGGAATTGTGGTGCAAAGGGAATATTGGGCCAAAATAAGAGAACTGGAAAAATTACTGAGCATAGGAGTTTTTACAAATGTCATGTTAATTCTCTACAATTCCCAGTTTTCATGAAATAAATCCCCAAAGAAAAACTAAAAACTCAATTTGAGTTAATTAACTGAAGAGATAATTAATTTTCTAATTAAAAAAATGTAAACTAAATACTAAAATGGCAGAACTATAGAGTTTTTCCCTAGTAGTCCAAAAATGTAAGGAACGCTGGCCATTATAATACAAAGTGGCAAATTTTAGTTCAAATTTGAAGGATAATGTTTTTTCAATAACACATGATTTTTTATAAATGTTCCATTTAAAGTGGTTCTGTCACCTCAAACTTCTCCAATAGTTTCTTATTTCCTTTTTCGAATTCTGTTCTTCTTTTCTTCATTTCTGACCTTTTCTCTTTAAAACATTAGACAACGTAATATACAATGAACAGGTTTAACCAATTGGCACTATATGTATAGTTTGAAAATAAAATGTGATCTATGCAAAATCAAGTAAAACATGTGAACATGAATTATATTACATATTCTATATATGGCTCATAAACACAAGCTATTATTAAAAAAGGGAAGGACTACACTGAGCAGCATATTTAAATCAGAATGCTACAGTAATGACCTATCATCATGCACCATCAACAATAAAATCAAAGCACTTTGTCTTATGTATTTTTCCGACCCTTGACATTGACAAGGTTTGGCATTTAAGGCAAGCTTGTCAAGCTAACAAATGCAGTTGAGCTTGACTTAAGCTCCACCCTTTGTCAAGATTGTCAAGCATATGAAAAATACATAAAACAAAGTAATCCCTACTTATGTTTTAAAGAGAAATAGATAAAAAATTAAGAAAAAAAAAACAGATTGTAAAAGAGGAAGAAAAGATGAAACAAGAAGGGAAACAATAAGTATACAAAATATTGCATCTGTATAAACCATGCATGGATTGTTTAAATCCAGTATTGGCATTAGACAGACACATTTAGGGACAAAAGGTACAGCTAACATAATGCACTCTCGGTTCTTGTAAATAAGCCACATATATGGGTAAATAAAGTATTGCATATCATTAAGCAGTATCAAAGTTACCAGTAATTTGGTAATGTTTTTGTACATATGGGATTTTATTCAGTACTCTCTCTCTCACATGCACATACAAACACACACATACACACACACACACACACGCACACACACATGATTTAATTTTCTGTTAAACTGTTATCAAGTTCTGGAATTATGCATTCAATTGGTTTGTAAAAGTCTTTTACATATGTTGTTTTTCCATATGTACTTTAATAACACTATTTGTAGACATAATTCAGATGTCTGCCTCCACATTTCCTAATCCACTCACGTCTCGGTTTTTGTTAGGTAACATTTCATTTTATGCTATATTGCTTGCCGTATTGGTGATTTATTGCACCTCAGAGGCAAAGGAACCATTGTGAAGCTTGTGGGTTCTGCAATTTTCATATTAATAGAAAATTAATTCTTTAAGATACTTTTTATGTCACCAGATAATAAATAAATTAACAGTAATTGGCCCCTTATAACAAAGAATTATCATTTTTGTGGTGGGATCTTATGCAATAATTACACATGAAATTGCACATAAAGAGCTTTGTGGCTGGTACTCGTACTGTAAGTAATTGTTTAATGAATCGGGTCTTCAGAGTTTGCATTTCAGCAAGTATGGTTTTCAGTAGCAATAAAACTCAGTCACTTGCTGCTTGAACACAAAGTAATGGGCCATAATAGATGTAAAAGGTATCTTCAGAGTCATTTTGGTAAAATATATCTCTGGTTCTCTATGGAATTTGATATAATTTACAGTCGTTTCTTCCCAGTAATGAACACTTGGAGAGAATAGCTGTTGTTCAGACTCATGGTGCAGATTGTTTTTACTTTATGAAAGGGTCATTGATTCTCACAGCCTGATGACCATACATTTCCTGACATAGTTATTTGTTACAATGGCCACTTGGACTCTCAACTAAGTTTGGTAAAGGTTAATCTTTTAATATATTTTGCAAGCAAATGGCAAAATAGGTCAGAGTCTGCATTTCAGCATTAATATGTGATTCTTACTATATTGATATTTATTAATTTCTGTGTACTTTTACACTGAACCACATATAAATATGTGGATATCATTTGACTTGCCTGTTATTTTAACAGGCAGATCATGGGTTCAAATGCAGGATAGAACAGTGTGATATCACTGTATAACATAAAAAATGCATCAGTGAAATGTATTTACAGCAATATTCAGTATATATATATATATATATATATATATATATATATATATATATATATATATATATTATATATATATATCTATATATATATTTCACAGCTGCTTAATGTACACACTCCCATCTAACATATCCACCATGCATAATAAATGTCATACATGCTGTGAATTGATTGAGTGTTGGTTGGGGAGACAAATTGTTTTCTATAAGTGTGGTACAACTTGCATTTTAAACAGCAAATTAGTAAGAAAACATATTTTTAATAACACGGAACAGTGTGTTATAGTGAGAATAATGTAATATCAGGTTTGTGATCCATGACTTTTTAAGACCCTTGGTATGATGGTGTATCTAGTAGTGGTATAAACAGTTATCATATATGAGAGTAATTCATAGCCTTGGCAAAAGATGGAGCTGTTGATAGAGAACATATTTAAATTAAATGTACAGTTTGTGACAGGTCTCTGCATATATGAATGGTTAACTGATCTTCTGATTTTACATTTTTTATAATGTTTATTAATCAGAGTGTTCTGTTCTAAAAAGTGATCTAAAGTACTAAAAGTAGAGCAATCGGCATGGACACCAGTGGGACCAGCTCATTCCATTGGTGACTTCTCCATTTTTGCACTTGGCAACACTTAAAAAAAAACAAAAAACAGAACACATTAATAAATAACTTCCAGTGTTTCTTACTCTGCTATCCAGAGTAAACCAGTAAAGGATTCCTCTGTGAGTAATTGGATTCCAGGAAGTATATCATACCCCTTAAACATCTCAATTGTCTTATTTTTATGTAATATCTAATGTGCCACTTCTATACCCGTATGTTGTCTATACCTTTAAATGTAAGTGTTATAAAACTAAGATTCATATTCACTAAACAAATTGAAAACCAATTTGCAATTCCTTTCATCCTTTAATTATATAATGGGTACTTTATTTTGTACATTCCCAGATGTTGTAGAACTACAACTCCCATGATGCGTTGCATGCCTTTAGAAGGAGAGAGCATCATGAAAGCTGTAGTTTTAAAATATCTGGGGATCTACCTTTTTGGGCACCCCTGATTTAGTAATACACAAGCCATACCTTGTAATTTTGGAAAAGATGAAATCAGGAATGGACTGAGCCTGGGCCAGAGTAGGGAGCATGCCAGTAATGTTTAGAATTGTATAGAGTCCCTGCCATGCCAGCATGCATGTCTTCCAGGTAGATGGGGAGCTAACCAAGGCTGCACATGTACATAGTGCTTTTAAAGTGCTCTCATTTAGATTGAAATGCCCCAGAATTGTGTTGGGCAGATGTTCCTGTGTTTAGTAACACACTTATTCCAAGCATTATGGGATCTTTTCTTAGTGTTTCTCAGAAGCGCAAGAGCAGAAAAAAAAAACAAATGGCAGGACAAAGGTTTAAAATCAGTGGTATCCTGAAAAAATCTGGACTTTTAAGAGGTATGCACAAAACCTCTGCATCGACTGTGTATGTGTGTATGTATATATGTGTGTATTACATAATATGTCAAATGCACTGTTATATAAACATTGACTCTATAGATTATACTAAAAAACTATTGCAGATGAAAGATATCAGCTGCCTTCCATTATACCAACATGGCTCAATTTATTTTAGCCTTAACCAAATTCTTTCTGAAATAAGTGCTTATTTACAGTTTGTGTTATAAGGAAATTGTCTGTGTTAATCCAGTTGAACATATTTAGCCTTACCTTCGCATTGCTGCATGTATATTTAGATTCCAGGGTTAGCACCCTTACAAACAAATACTGTATTTTCTTCCAAAAAGAAAATATATACTATGCATTAAAGCCATGTATATAGAATATACAGAAACCCCATATTTTTCATCTGTAATGCTATATAAAGTTTAAATATTTTATCATTCATACAATATGGATGTGCTTTGATTTTATTATTGATGGTGCATGATGCTAGGTCATTGTTGTAGTATACTGATTTAAATATGCAGCTCAGTGTAGTCATTCCCTTTTTTTATAATAGTGTTTATAAGTCATATTTGGAATATGTAATATATTTCATGTTTACATGTTTTGCTTGATTTTGCATAGATCACATTTAATTTTCAAACTATACATATAATACCAATTGGTTAAACCTGTTCATTGTATATTATGTTCTTATGCAGCATTTGGCAATTTACGTAATATAATAGTCTTCCAGGTTTAAACTATTTATAAGGTGGTTCAGCAGCACATTCAAAATAAGTGACAAGCAACATTTTTTGTTATACAGCTAAACTTCCCTGATGTAACATTAAATCTCTTTGAAATAATGGAAATGTAGAATTTTTGTTGTCAATTCACACAAAGCAACTTTGTAAAAATGTACTGCCTCAACAAGCTTTGGATTGTTATTAATGCACCCTGCTAATAATTACCCCCCAAAAAATGCATTACAATCAAAGCGTAAGCAGTTATAGCCAGCCACCCTAAAGTGACTTATGTCTAAGAATTGCTGCTTCAGGATATTTCAAATTAATGAATGTTTCTGAGAAAACATTGAATTTTTTTGTTTTACTAAGTAGAAAGATGTGTGGTCCCCTGCAGGCCAAATGAAACAATAAATGATGTCTGTGTTTCAGAATATTGATCTTACCCAGCCAGAAATCTTTAGTAACACTTAAGGTGTGGAACGACCCACCGAGTGCTCCTAGATGCAGAAAATAGACTTTAATTATCATTCAACAACCTTAGCCTGTTTGTCTGATGCTTATACTGCTGAAAGTATTCTGAAAATTCTAAAAGGTTAAAGATGCCAAACTCGGCTTCCTATGGTGTCATGATTGATTCCAGTCCTATTCAATATACCTAAGGTCAGTTCACAAGGAGTGATTTTATACTCATGACCTTGTCCTGCCAATAAAAAAATAATAAAATAATACATCATAACTTTTTTTATAATTCATGTTTTACTGTAAAGGGCCTATCTTCTATACTATTTAATCAAACTACAGATAAGTTGACTAAATGTTTAGTTTGAAACATAAACTGTTGAAGGGCTTGCTCGTTCAAGCTTACAGTCCAAAGAGAGTTGAGAGTTGAGGACACAGGTGAGATGTAAGGTTGCAGCAAGATGGATAATCTTGGGATTTACCCACATTCTCTTGGCCAGGAGGTTTCAGATATTCCTCCTTGATAAATAGCAAAGTGTTGAAAATTACTAAGGGCGGGAAAATGTCTAAAGAAGGGTAGCAGGTCAAACCAGATATGTAGGTCATGATTTAAAGAACGATAAGGAGCGATTTAATATAAAACATATGTTTGGATTTTCATCTACATTGTATTTATAAAGTTGCCATCATGTTGCAGATCATAAAAATATAAAAATAACTCTAATGTAAGTAGACACATCACTTGTATAACATAAATCTCAAAACTTCTTTTTGGTCGCTTTGATTCCCAAAGATAAAATTGGTATTAGTATAAATTTGTTTTTAAATTGGGATTATAGAATTTTGTATAACTCTGCTATGCTACCTACATGGAAAGATGGATGTTCACAGACAATGTATCTATATATATACCTTCCATAAGCTTTCAGGATATTACTGTGTCTCCTATCGCTCTATTTTGACATCAAGAAGTGTCCTGAAAACATGAATTTAAGGACAATATCTTATTTATCTTAAAATGCTGGTAAAATTATACAGATGAATAACATGTATTACTATTTCTTAAAAGAAAGATGAAAACGACATTTTTTCTGCTGAAAAGTAAAAATGTTGTTAATTTATTTACAAAACAAAGACTAATATAAGGTAGCAGGAAAAAATAGTAGATGCTTTTCCAGCTGAACTTTTGTTCTTGCAATTGAGCTGTCAGTTCAATCTGTGTCATTTTCTGGTGTGTGCAAATACTCTCAGTTGCATCCCCAAAATGCAATGCAAAGCTAAAGTTATTAGTTGTTGCAATTAAAATTTCTCATTTTTTTCCCCAATACATGTGTCTTAATAGCTTTCAGCTGGCAATTGCTCATCCCTATATTTAAACATATAATCCATGAATTCACATTTATTTTTATTTGTATCTGCAAATTAGGTACAAATCCCTTCATTATTTTAATTCATATTATAGGATAGCAAACTTGCAAAACAAATTGCTAACCAAATAGATTTAGTTCATTAAATCATCCAAGCATTCTGTAACATGAAAAAGCACAAATAAAGCTTTCTATCCATTAAGATTAACTCCAAATTAAGTATATTTTTTTACAAGCTGATATATCCAGAAAAAGTATAATTAAGCAGTTTTTCGATGCTGATATTATCTCCTATATACTAGTACAATCAGCTGACTTTTATTACTTTACTGCATTTTCAAGTACACTGATAAAAGATTAATAGATAACCTTTAAAGATAGTGGGAACTAGCAAAAACTAAATATATCCTACCTGCTGAAATAATTTGGAGATACTATTATATTGTTATGTGATTATTTGAACATTTTAAAGCTGAATTAAGTGAACAATTTAAAACATTGAAAATTACTTCTCTTAACCTTATTCCATCTGGTGCTCCATTTTATTTTAAATTTATATTAAAGAAACACTATAGCGTTAGGAATACAAACAAGTATTCCTAATGCTATGGTGTTCTAGTAACTAGAACTTACCCATCCTGTCTAATGAAATAAAAAAAGCAATTTAGTCTCTGTACAGTTGGCTTGACCCCCAGACTGAAATGATTAATTCCCTATAGGGAAGCTAGTGTGCATGCATGGGAAATTACTGCAATGCACCATCCAGCATCTCCTCATAGAGTTTAATTTAGTCAATACTATATAATATAATATATAATATAAGGGGAGAGTTTAGCGCCTCATGCAGAGCGTGGAGATACAAAATGTGAGTCCTACAATCTTTGCAGAACCAAACTCAAGAAGTGCCTCTTGTGGCTTTCTGAGCAGTAGAAAAGGCAGTGTTTACAATGCTCAGTCTGCAGGGACAAGCACTAGACACCAGAACCAACACATTAAGCTGTAGAGGTTTAGACTCTCTTTAAAGACTTAGTGAGTGGCATCACATTCCAGTTCTACCAAGGCACAGTCAAGGCTAGTAGTGGAATAAACTAACAAAGGGCCCCAGTGCAAGACTTTTTGGTGGCCCCCTACCATCTCTAATTCCATAGAAATATCCTCACTTGCCACTGCAAGATAACCAAGTCTACGTCCGAACGCCAGTTAGTACTCTCCCTCCCCAATTTGGACTGCCATATTTTCCTGACAATTAATGCTCTCCCTGTCCAAAGTAGATTTTGCTTGCTTATGAACCCTGTCTATTCCCACATTAGATTCACCAAAAAGTGGCCCAAGAGTGGACTTCTAAACTCTGGTGGGCTTTGGAGCCATTGCAGTGGCCGCGCTTGCCGTAGTTGTGCTCCTGATCAAGGCACACATTGTAAACGTTATGGAAAAATACAAACGTTGTAGGCATTTTTTATGCTAAATGCAGGACAGAGCATACAACAATGATTAAAAGGGAGCCCATATGTTGGAACCCAGTTGCTGAAAGAGTGTTTTGGATTTATACATTTAATTTAATTTTTCACACCTCACAAATACATATTTTTAAACCTAGAGAATTAAGTAAGCATACTAATACAAATCCTGCTATCCTTTAATTAGCCAAATAATCTTGCAAGACATTTTTTATTCCCAGGATGTACTTGGGATACAGCCAAAACCTAAATGTATATTCCCTGATTAAATCTTTGATATTATGATTATCCTAACAAAGCAGTAATGCTGATCATGTTACATTAGCAAATGTGGATGGCCATAGAATTTGGAACACTATTTCTAGAAAGGGACTTTTGATAGTGTGCCAATATGTCTAAAGGGATTTTTAAAGACCTAGTACATGGCTGCAAGCTTATCATTAGGTTTTGGTACAATCACCTGACTTCTAGGGCTATATATTACACTTGGTTTTTACTGTTGCAGATTCTGTCCTACAGGTAAATTCCTCTAATATTATTTCATGTTATTATTAGTATCAGATATTCACTATGGTTCAAAAGTGGAAATTTTCCTATATTTTCATACCTTTTGATATCAAAGTGGAACCTATATTATTTCAGTTCAGAGATACTACTGAAGAAAATAATCATCATGATTTAATATGATGCAACCAATATTGTTGAAATTTCCAATATATGCCTGTTTTTATTAATTTAGCTGCTCATGTATTTGAGGCTTAATTCTGCCACTTGGGCCAGCCTGACATCACTAATGGTGACCTTGGTGACAAATGTCAATGAGCAAGTGAACCTTATAATATATGTTGCAACAAATAACTATGGTATGGAAACTATCAATAAAATCCTTTACATTTCTCTCTGCTCATAAATCAAAACGATAATTAATGCGTTATGTTGACGGCTGAGCACCCAGGGTCTTGGTTTTGATTATTTTGTTTTAAGAATTAACAAATGGCATCAACTGCTAGTGTTAAGTACTCTATGTTTCTTATTTAAACTGTCCATGTTACGTATGCAAACTGTAGCTATCTAGTTTTCATTGAATATCAATGCACAGGACTAGATATAACTCCTTATTATACAATCAAGTTTTAAGCGAATCGTGATTTTATTTCCCTTTGCTCTTACTTATAGGACCTGCACTGCTTTAATGGAGTTTGATTCATGCTTATTACATTCTAGCTTCAAAACAAACCTTTCTAAAATAGATTACCTGTCATGCAAAAATATTAACTGGATTATTGAAATAAATGGTAGATTAGGTGCACCACAAAGATAATGCACTAATCTATTGCATTTCCAGGAAGAAATTGACCAGTGTACTAAGTACACGCATTTCAAGAGACACTTTTTAAAAGAGTATTCTGGGGCACATACACAAAACTTTCCCTCTACATAAACAAGCATGCAAGCTCTCCTTATATGTTACCAGTCAAGTTTGGAATACTGCAGGGGCCTCATTAGATGTACTGAGAAACTTCAATATACATAATAATACAATTGCCAATTCCCACGTTTCTGTTTGTTAAGTGATGTGAAATATACAAAACAGGCAGGTAAATGTGTTGTAGTCCTTTGTGTGTAACAGTCATAACAAAATGAAGCAACGGAATTATATTTCAGGAGTGCTTCCATCATGACCCAGTGAAATTATTTATAGAGGTTAAGGTGGCAATATTGTAATATGTTTGAATATCCCTAAATATGCTAATATACATTTGTCTTAATTTGAGTATGTCAACAGTTTATGTCAATTCCTAAACCCGGAAGGGTAGCCTATTGAATTTGGATTCTTCTGATACGACTTAAGCTACCAAGGGCGAATGCTCCATATTCCGAAATACATTCCCTAAGTTCCGAAAAATGCATAGGAATTTTTCTACCTAGTTTTTAAACAAAGCAGTGTGATCCTTTCTACATGTTTTTTTTTTTTCTTTCCTAGAAATCAGAATCAGTCCTACAAGCAGACAAAACAATGATAAACATATAGACATTTGTGTTATGTGTCTTGGTGTACATGCTTAAAAGCATAAGCAGAGATTGAAAAAATTCTAAACAATTCTTCCCAAGAAACTGATCGAAGAGCTTAAAACCTTCCTTCGGTCTGGTCTCTGTCAGGAGCCCTATTCTTAAACAAACCAACAAGGGACTAATTAGATATAATTCAATAACCAAAATCTTTCCTGTATGAAAAAATAGCATTGACAAAAATCAATGGATTAATTGACAGGACATTGTTGTAGTATCTGTTTTACATGCAGAATCAATACAATTAAACATTTTTATTTTAGAAATTTGGTTGATATCCCCTTTGCTAAAAGAAGAGTCTGCACATATTTAGAACATATATATATATATATATATATATATATATATATATATATATATGCTCTTTGGAAATGGCCTTTCCATTCAGGTTTATATATAATAGACAATGGACTAATAAATAATACATTACATTGATCAAGGGTGAATTTTAACCTTTGAAGGACTTTAGATGTTATTGTAACAAGACATATCCTGGTTATTTTTTTTTTTTAAGATTGTTATGCCAGTCATTCCCTGCAGTGGTTAATTGAGGAAATTAGTGCATTTTAAATAAAAGCTTTGATTAACATAGACTATAAAATCATTAGTTCTTTAAAAGGTTTTCGTGTTTTTAAATCCACTTATATTCAGTTACAAATTAATATTTTATTTTATATTCTGCAGACTCAGCCAAGAGCAATTGGGTTCATCACACTGGCAAACTCGTGTATTTGGGGCAAATGTATTGCTTATTGTATGTCTCTCAAAACTAGTGTACACCCTAGCTCTAAACTACTGTAGCTGAATTTGAAAACAACACATTCAGCACTGCCAGAGTTTTGCTAGAGCTAGGCACCCCTTTCATGTGTCTATGGAGTGAGCCAGCAACAGGGCAAAAGTCCCAGTGCTTATCAGTGATAATCCTGTCATTGAATCCAGAGTCTTTAACTAACTTGCCTCTGAAATAAATAAATTTGTGTTTACAAAAGGAAGAGTAGGAAGAAGATAGCACTAGTATGTAAGTGTTAAGCGATTCCATTCCAGGTGACCTCTTCGTGCTGCGTTGTGTTGCTTTGCCTTAATGTTGCTTTCCGTATCTTCATCATCACTTTCTCCAGAATCACCACTTGTGCTTTCTTCTTCCTCTTCCTCATCTTCCTCATCTTCGGCTTCCTCATCTTCTTCTTCTTCCTCTTCTTCACTCTCTCCTTCTCCTGTTACATTTGTGTCATATTTCTAAAGAAAACAAAGATAGAAAAAACAGGTTCACAAATCTGATCTTTAGATTTTATAATCCCAAATTCTGGATTCTGCATTGCACTCATGTTAATTTCACAGGTGAAAAATTGAGTTACGATAGTTATCAAGTTCCACTAAATTCATACAAACTGTCTTTACTTTTTGTGATAACCAAGCTACTAGCAAATGTACAGATAGTTTGTTGCATTACCCATACACCTAGTTCAGGCTCCTATACCACCATCCCATGTTTGATCCCTGGTATCCCACATCCAGGGACCAAGTAACTGTCCCAAGCCAGAACAGTGTGAGTACATCATTAAGGGGAACCACCTTCCATTGAGAAATGGGAAAAAGATATGGATAAAGTTTTTCCATTGAACATCTGGGAAGAGGCCTATGTACAGTTGAAAAGATGAGTTCATAATTTAAACCGTCAAGAAAACTATTTTAAAGTGATCGATAAATGGTATCTTACCCCAAATAAGATCCATAAATTCGATAGGAAATGTTCAACCTCATGCTGGAGATGTTTTAAGGATAGTGGTACAATCTATCATATGTGGTAGGAAGGCAAAAAATTACAGGAAATTAAGAATGGGATTTCCAACATTCTTTTGAAGATTTTAGATCATGGTGTACCACTATCCCTGGGTCTCTTCCTTTTCCATTTGGATTTACCTAGTTGCAGCCCTTAACAAAAAATATTATTAAACCACATCTTTATGGCTGCAAAATTAGTAATTGCTAGAAACTGGAAAGTACCAGTAACTGCACTTTGGTTAGAAATCATTAATCAAATCAATTATCAAATCCAAATGGAAAAGGGCTTTTGTAGAATAGCTGATAATATCTCCTTATATAATTTATTTAACCAAGAATGGGCTAAGATACAATAAACTCTAATTAGAACCTAGGCATTGATTGGTTGATTGATTGATTGATTTAATTAATTGATTTAGTTAATCAATTAGTTAAGTAAGAACTGTATTAATTAATAACATAATAGAGGCTGATCCACTCCATGCGCTACAGTATAATAAATAATTGACCAATAAGAGGTTTGTAATGAATGTAATGTATTGTACACATCTTGCACTATATATGTTTGTCAAAATTGTATATGTTTGTATGTAATGTAATGAAAAAATGTTTATTTCTTCTTTGAAATAAAATATATATATATATATATATATATATATATATATAAATAAAAGTGATCACACTGTGCTGAGGGCACTAACTTACTAAGATGGAAATATTAAATAACGTGAGAAGTGCCAGCTCTTTTAGAACTTTGTTTTCAATGTCAAATCTATAAACCCAGAAAAGTGAATGCTTTGTTACAACCCCTCTAATCATACATTATTTTCATTTAGTTCTTCTCACCTGAACAAACCACCAATTAATAACTTGCATTATGTATTACGTCATATTGTCCATTACAGCAATAGGTATTCAGATAAATCAGACTAATTGGCAACAAACTCTACAAAAATTAATTTGCAGATACTAATGAGGTATTTGAGATAGAGAGGGACAGAAATGTGTAGGAGTATGAATTCATGAACATACTAGGCAACATAAATTATGGATTAAACTCTAACAAGCAATATTTGTCTCGCTATCTCGTATAACTATCATTTTTATGTTCTAAATCATGGAAGTTCTAAAACTAAGTCATGGTACATCGACACTTTACAGTAATAAAGGATTTGCATTCCCGATGACATGACAGCATGGCATTAATACCCTATGCCAAGCATTCTATTATATATAGCTGCCTTTATTTATAGATATATCTCTTCTTCAGTAGGGTTCAGAAGTTCTTCATACAGTGTGGATAGTCCACAATGGTTCTAGCTTTGTCCAATGCAATTCAGCTAATTAATGCTCTTCATGATAAAGATAATACATTATCTTATTGTATTGCTTCCTATGATCCATTACATCTACCAGTTCTAATGTATATAATAATCGTAGTGGTCACATGTGACAGTCCTGATTCTTCTCCTGTGTATTTTTTAGAAAGAGTAGGCTTAATTTCTCTATGTTTTAAAAGTGTCAAGGCTGAAAAGCTAAAGAATATTTGTTTTATATGAAAGTGGTATAGTTACTTTTGCTATATAGTTTTGAATTGGGGCAACTTTGATCTTATCTGAAAAATACTGATCTAATACAATTTTTAGTTTACATTATTTCTTATATATTGTATGACAATAAAACACATTTTTGTACTAGAGCAAAAAACAATACAAGTATTATTGGATGAAATGGAAAAGAGATTTTTGTTTTTACCACATTTCAAAATTTAGACATACATTAAAAAAATATATATATTTTTGAATTCAGCTTTAATTCTTAAAAAGAAAAGCATCTATAAAATACTGTAAAAATGAGAAATTGCAGGAGTGAGCTGGATATTATCAGTGAAACTATTCTGGAAAGCCATCCTGCGGCAATGCATATGAGAACTTTAGATATATGAGCGGAGAAAAGATTATGGAATTACAGAGAGGCCCAAGAGCAATGCTGACTAGGGGATATAGAGCTTTGATGGTTTAATATAAATTACATTTATTTTTGTTAAATTTTTTCAAAGTGGTTTTTGGTGTTGCATCTTAAGTTCTTGTTACAGTAATTATTATTGTTATTTATACAGCAACACCATCAAATGCGTAGGATTCTATTTACATTTCTTAGTTTTCTAGCACATGTAATATTATGGTAAAATGTCCAAAAATATGAAATAAATCTGTGACTTTCCATGTGGAAGATGAAGAGATAAAGTTGTAATTTTAATTTCTTATAACTTATTTTTACCATGGGAAAATTATTTTAGAATGCATTTATTCCATACAAATATATATCTCACAAGTGGAATATTGTTATGCAGCCAAAATACAGAAAAAAAAGTTAAAAAGAACTAAAAAAAAAGAGTGTGAAAATTTGTAACAATTGTACAACAATAAGGTGAGGAGTCAGTGGCGGGAGCATGCATCAGCATGTAAACATCCACTGAGTCTATGCACCAGGGAGAACCTCCAGGTGTGTCTCTGGGCTTAACCCAATAGGTATGAAATATGTGAAACAAAGCAACAATACTCCTCAAAGTGTGCTGAGAGGAAATGTCACCTGGAATACTAACAGTATTCTTATAAATAAAAGTAACAAGTGCTGTAGAACCAGATATCCTACGGTCCAAAAATAAAAATCCAAAGCCTGATAAGGCTAAACCTTATCTGTTACTAGAATTCAGTCCAAATCTGGACGCACATTGGGCAATTAGTTGTTTTACTGGGCATTTGACTGCCTCGCGGCTCGTGAGATGGTTATTCATTTCAGTTTATTTCTATCTTATTCCTCTACCTATCAAGTCAGTTTTTAATGGAGAGAGGCTTTTCTTTCTGTATTTGTCGACTACTATACCACTATATGCTTTGTGGATAGGCTTACATATATTAATATCGTGGGCACTGGTTGTGGGGGTAACTTAAGTGTCTTCCACGGAACATACCTTGGATAGGTAAACACTTATGATTTTCGTTTTTGACACTAAGACCCTTTGACTCCCTCCCACCTGGGGACTTTAAGTAAATACTGGAGTACTGTGTGGGCACATTTATGCTGCTCTATCGCTCTCCTCTTATTACTACCTCCACTTTGGCAATAAACAATAAAGCCAAAGAGTGGAGGCTGGTGCTAGTAGTACCACTTTCTAACCCATAATTGGACTTTCTTGTAACAGGTAGAGGTTTAGCCGTATCAGGCTTTGGATTATTATTTTTGAACCATAGGATATCTGTTATACAGCACTTGTTCTTTTTATTTATAAGAATACTGTTAGTATTCCAGGTGACATTTCCTCTCAGGTGTATTGTCACTTTGTTTCACATACTGTTCAATTAAGCTTCCA